CCACCACGATTCCATGGACTGGTTCATTCACATCCACCTACACCACCACAGGACCTGATGGTCAACCTACCTGGTTGTGAAACTCCGAGCCTAACCACCACGATTCCATGGACTGGTTCATTCACATCCACCTACACCACAACTGGAACTGATGGTAAGCCAACTGTGGTTGTTGAAACTCCAGAACCAACTACCACGATTCCATGGACTGGTTCATTCACATTCACCTACACCACAACAGGACCTGATGGTCAACCTACTGTGGTTGTTGAAACTCCTGAACCAGTTGTCACTGAAAAAGATGTCACCACCATCATTTTGCCATGTACTTGCAAGGAACCTTCAACCACAACAACAACCGGTGATGATGGTAAGAAGACCGTTGTCTGCAACATTCCACATTCACTAGTCTCCACTGTCGTGGTCACCGAGCCATGCACAAATGCTGCTGGAGATTCTACAGTCACAGTCTATACCACATTCACTGTCGCTGCTGCTGTGACTGCTAACCCTACTGAAACCGTTGCTTCAACTGGTGCTGAAGGTAGTGGTTCTAAAGCCGCTTCAGCAGGTAATGGCTCTGACACTGGAGCACAAGACGTCTCCACTTTTGAGGCTATGGGTTCAAAGAACTCGTACACATTCTTGGCTGTATTATCCGCTCTTTTGTGGATTTCATTTTGAACTGACCCAAAGGAACCTAGGAGTGGTTCTAAGAAACAAGTTTGTTTTGAATGTTTGGTTATTATAATTTCTCTTTGTCTGGTTCTTTCGCTCGCCATAATCTGGTACTGTATTAATAAATGATTTAGTTCTTCGAGTAGAATATCTAGTTCGGACACTGGACGAAGAGCCATTCTGTGATCGAAATTATCATTTTTCAAATGGCTTCGGTTTCAAGAGAAGCAGGTAAACAACAGCTTGTTTCTATGACTTTGGTTATTTGTTATGAGAGAGGTGGCAATACGACCAGCGGAATTATGACTATGCCTGTGATTAAAATTTCGTGGAATCGTGTTTTCCTTTCGCAATATCACAAGACAATCGCTTATAACTTGGTTAATTTGGTTTCATACTCTTCGAGTGTGACCATATCATAAGTACTTCCAAGTTTGCTTGCACACATCACCATACTACCTGGTTTCCATCTTAGGACAAGAGACGGGTGTGTTGGAACCTACTCTCGCATAGATTGAAGGGTTCTCCAATCCTTCTTTGGTGAGCGATTTTCGAAGTGCAAGCTAGAGCCAGTCGACATTTTACTTTTGTTTGAGTACGAGGAAATACTGTACGCGCTATGCCTGTAACATAACCATATCTTTGAGCTCTGGGTTTGACAACATGCACTTGCGTACTAATGAGTTTTCCATTTTACACAATATCATTTGGGCGTTTGGGTGTTGAAAGTCTCTGAAGTATTATTAATTCTCTCGTTTTCACTAAGAGTTCACACAGGGGAAATATGACTAGTGGATAGGGGTAGACGGGGGGTCTTCTGTACACTGCCTTTTAGTCAGAGTTTGCCGATTAGACGTATCATAACCATATAATCTCATTCATGTTTTAGTCAGTTATGCATATAATAGAAATGATGTTATTAATTAAACAACATGATGATATTACCTCTGCCCAGCTCAGAATATTCCCAATAAGGCTACTGGCTGAGTAAAGGACACTATCTGTAAAAATTTGCCTTCAAAGACTTAGTGAATCACCATGAAATGAATTGCCCCTTTGAGGAAGAAAATATATTTTGGCCAACAATAGGCTGGAAATCATCTTAATTTTTGTTTATATGTTGATGACGCCTTGGAGTATTTAACAATGTCTATTGTTGTTATTGTATGAATTGTCTGTTTATCCGTTCTACCTACCATGGCTCAGATGGATATCTGTAGACGTTCCAGTTGTATTTGCAGGCTCTCGTAAACGGTGCGGGCTGTAGACTAGATTCCTAGCAATTTGTCGGCAAGTAGAGCAAGGTAAAATAGAACCTCTAAGAAAACAGGATTACATGGATAAACAAACTAGTAACCGAACTAATCAATTGTCGTATTTCATCATATCCATAATCTAATTGATTTAGTGAATATTAAATTTAATAGTGAAATAATCTATTGATTTTCAAAATGTGAACGGCGTCAAGTCAACAATCTCGTGATTCTCTGAATAGTTTTGGAGTGAGCATATTGATGGAGATTTCCGAGTTTTTAAATATTCGGCACAAATGCAGAGTTCATCATGGAATTCATGGAGTTCATTCTTGGTGCTTTTGAACTCATCACTTTGTAGCTAGCTCCAATTGGCATCTGAATCCATAGTTACACTATGACTGAATGTTCTTCCTCATAAAGCTTACTAAGAATAGGAGCAGCTAGCAATGCGCATCTGGCAAGTGATATATGATTTGAACGCTGGCTATTGGAAACAATAACATTTGTGAAATACTCTACACAACTCACTCATTTCCAACCCAAATGTCACCAAAATAGGAGGACAAGTCTATAGAGTCCTGATCGAACTCAAACACTTGCCCCACTTGAGTGTTATCTTGTCCATCAGAAGTAAGTCCACCTATTGAAGAGTATGCACACCATAAATAACTGTGACAATATCCACCTTCCATGTGCCAGCCTTCTGCTGGCTCTTCAACTTTGTTATCAGCACGTGTTACCAATTTTCCCATGAAGGGAGGAATAATAGCGCTTTTAAGTATTAAAGATCCTTCGTAATACTCTTGCATGGATTTGGCGTCCTTTAAGAACTTAAAGTGCTCTTGTTTCTTGACTTCGGCTTCAAAATCAACAAGATCGCTTTTCCCACAGAACTTGAACCCTGAGTTAAACCACACCAACTTTCCATTCTCATTGATGTGTCCTGGATGAGGCGAACATAGTTCCTGGGATTTCTTATGGTTTCCTTGACTGGTCAATCTTTCCTCCTGGCTAGTAATAGTCCCGATCGACGCAGCGAAATTCTTGTTGAAGTGATAGTCTTCGTCACCACTGGCGGCAAATCCCAACCAGAATATCTCTTTGTCTCCATGAACTCTGGCGGTAACAGGCCTAAAAAAGTTCATTTGGAGCATTGTCAATATGGAGTTGAAGTGTAAGTGTCTATTGATTAGTACCACTCCACTTTCCATGAAATGGCCCATTCCGTCAAAGAACTCCAATCCAAGAGTCTTCTGGGTGATTATGGGGATATCAAACATCAATGTGTCCAAAATCGAAGGAGTAATCTTCTGAAAGAATTTAGTATCACCTGGTGGTCTGAATTGGGGAGCGGTTCTATCCTTGAAGAAGTAGGCTCCCGTAGATATGTAGTCCTTCAAGTCGAAAAATTCGGATGGACTTTGCAACAATATAGTATCAGCATCAATTAACATGAATTCCTCAAATGAATTGAACAACGTTGCTAGGAACTTATTGGCAAACCGCTTGAACTTATCCTTGAAGTTGTCGTGAATAGCGTTGTACGTATTGACGAACCACACTTCTTGCTTTGGTAATCCACTGTCTTGTGCAGTGAGGTAGTCGGATGGGAAATGCTTGGAAACTTTGTGGAAGCTTTCTGGTAAGTCCACCATTTTGTTTCTAGCAGCGGCGACTATTTTTGCTTTGGTATCGTCACTGAGCGAGTCATAGAAGACTATTTGGATTGGAAAGTGATTGTTCAATGCTCTTAATAGACGAATGAGTCTTACTGTATCGTCTACATGTTTGTCTCCGGTGGGTGTATGGGTCAGAACTTATGGACCCATACACCCACCGAAGTTCTGACCCATACACCCACCGAAGATGCCGATCTGTCCTCATACGATACAGACAAATATAATCCCGAGGTTTGGTATCTTGTGATACACACCTAAAAAAGAAATATTTGACCCGTCTCCACCATCCAATTCAGCAGCTTTCCGGCAGATTTACAAGATGTCTGGTATTGCTACCGTATTTGGTAGAGACGGGGAAAGAGCACGCTTCTTGAACCACCTCATGTTGTTGGCCTCCCCCTATCGCCCTATTTCACATCACTATAAAAATCTCAAGACAACTAAAGTGGATGGAGACATAACCTAAATAATATATGAAACGCAGATTCAAGGTCAGCGTCAAGAACACATTTTCTTTGAAGCTCGGGTTATCAAAAAATTAACATTAATTATGGCCTATTGGCGGCGGAACACATACAAGTCTCGTTTACCAAAATAACTATTCTCTATCCTACAGTTATCACGTCCCTACTTCGTTATCAAATGTCATATTCGGAGAATGTAGGAGTACCTGCTGACATTTCCAGTAAAATTTGTATCAAGTTTTGACGTCGGACGACTCTGCTATTCAGTGTTGGCCACATATTTATGATTGCGAAGGAGAATATTGGGGAGCCGCAGAAACACTTAACATTCTAGATAAAATGAACGGGCATGTCTCACCATCTCGAGAAGTCTCCATAAAAAGAGGATCTCTTCGATTATGATGTTCTGTCGTCCAAATTAATTGAAGTTAATGTATTCTAAGGAATCGTGAGAGACCTTTGTTTCGTGCACCTACCGGATATTGTTGAATACAAGAAGACGCTGTGCGTCTATCGTACTACGAGCTTGGATGAACAATACAAATATCTATTTTTTTTTTGTACATGAAGGGCTATTGTTGTCCACAAAAGTATGGAAAAGGAGGTGAGATAAGAAGCACCATTCTATTTATTGGAAGAGGCCAGTATCAACTCAGCTGTAACTACTGCAATGTTTTAAAAGATACCCCTCCCCGCTTTCCCATGTACTACAAACCACTCAAGACTTTTGACAGCAATCCTGTATCTAATTATGAACAAAGCTTCTATCTTTAGAATTCAGTTAAATTTGAGCGATAGTACAAATCCGATGCCGAAGCTGGGAAATAATCTTGATGTTACTTCTGTTCGTGTGAGGGTAAAATAGGTATCGAGAATTGGTTTTAACACGTCGCCGTTAGCTGCCAATTGTCCGTGCGTGTAGCAGATTCTTCCCGGCGAGGGATAATACAGAATCAGTTGGGCTGGTTCACAAGTAAAGAATGCTCCAGTTTGGTTGACTCACAGCTACCATTTAAGTCGACTGGCCTACATTTGATATATTGGTGACTGCGCCTACTGAGGTTATTTTGGTACAGATGGCATTAGTATATATTTGATATAATACAAATATAACAGAAAAAGGGAAATTAAAAATGGTAAGTGTCATAGATCAATTCGGTGGGTGTACAGTCCAGAAGGCCAGAATACCAGTACGAGAGAACTTGGACAGAAGAAAAAGTAATTAATACAGTACAGATCA